ACAGGAAACAAGACAGCTGACACAGTCAACAATGACACACATAAACAGGAAACAAGACAGCTGACACAGTCAACAATGACACACATAAACAGGAAACAAGACAGCTGACACAGTCAACAATGACACACATAAACAGGAAACAAGACAGCTGACACAGTCAACAATGACACACATAAACAGGAAACAAGACAGCTGACACAGTCAACAATGACACACATAAACAGGAAACAAGACAGCTGACACAGTCAACAATGACACACATAAACAGGAAACAAGACAGCTGACACAGTCAACAATGACACACATAAACAGGAAACAAGACAGCTGACACAGTCAACAATGACACACATAAACAGGAAACAAGACAGCTGACACAGTCAACAATGACACACATAAACAGGAAACAAGACAGCTGACACAGTCAACAATGACACACATAAACAGGAAACAAGACAGCTGACACAGTCAACAATGACACACATAAACAGGAAACAAGACAGCTGACACAGTCAACAATGACACACATAAACAGGAAACAAGACAGCTGACACAGTCAACAATGACACACATAAACAGGAAACAAGACAGCTGACACAGTCAACAATGACACACATAAACAGGAAACAAGACAGCTGACACAGTCAACAATGACACACATAAACAGGAAACAAGACAGCTGACACAGTCAACAATGACACACATAAACAGGAAACAAGACAGCTGACACAGTCAACAATGACACACATAAACAGGAAACAAGACAGCTGACACAGTCAACAATGACACACATAAACAGGAAACAAGACAGCTGACACAGTCAACAATGACACACATAAACAGGAAACAAGACAGCTGACACAGTCAACAATGACACACATAAACAGGAAACAAGACAGCTGACACAGTCAACAATGACACACATAAACAGGAAACAAGACAGCTGACACAGTCAACAATGACACACATAAACAGGAAACAAGACAGCTGACACAGTCAACAATGACACACATAAACAGGAAACAAGACAGCTGACACAGTCAACAATGACACACATAAACAGGAAACAAGACAGCTGACACAGTCATCAATGACACACATAAACAGGAAACAAGACAGCTGACACAGTCATCAATGACACACATAAACAGGAAACAAGACAGCTGACACAGTCAACAATGACACACATAAACAGGAAACAAGACAGCTGACACAGTCAACAATGACACACATAAACAGGAAACAAGACAGCTGACACAGTCAACAATGACACACATAAACAGGAAACAAGACAGCTGACACAGTCAACAATGACACACATAAACAGGAAACAAGACAGCTGACACAGTCAACAATGACACACATAAACAGGAAACAAGACAGCTGACACAGTCATCAATGACACACATAAACAGGAAACAAGACAGCTGACACAGTCATCAATGACACACATAAACAGGAAGAAGAAGAAAGGTGAAACTAATGTGAACATTGTAAAAGTAAGTGATGTGATAAATAATATGAAAGTAACACAATATACTAGAGACATCAAAGCCATGAATGTCAGAAAAGTAAGTGATGTGATAAAAATATGAAAGTAACACAATATACTAGAGACATCAAAGCCATGAATGTCAGAAAAGTAAGTGATGTGATAAAAATATGAAAGTAACACAATATACTAGAGACATCAAAGCCATGAATGTCAGAAAAGTAAGTGATGTGATAAATAATATGAAAGTAACACAATATACTAGAGACATCAAAGCCATGAATGTCAGAAAAGTAAGTGATGTGATAAAAATATGAAAGTAACACAATATACTAGAGATATCAAAGCCATGAATGTCAGAAAAGTAAGTGATGTGATAAAAATATGAAAGTAACACAATATACTAGAGACATCAAATCCATGAATGTCAGAAAAGTAAGTGATGTGATAAAAATATGAAAGTAACACAATATACTAGAGACATCAAAGCCATGAATGTCAGAAAAGTAAGTGATGTGATAAAAATATGAAAGTAACACAATATACTAGAGACATCAAAGCCATGAATGTCAGAAAAGTAAGTGATGTGATAAATAATATGAAAGTAACACAATATACTAGAGACATCAAAGCCATGAATGTCAGAAAAGTAAGTGATGTGATAAAAATATGAAAGTAACACAATATACTAGAGACATCAAAGCCATGAATGTCAGAAAAGTAAGCACTCAAAGACAGAAAAAGACACAAAAGTGTACCAAAAACAAATAAAAAAGGATTACCAATACAACACGATGTAGCAACACAGCCAACAAAGCTAAGCTTGTATGAATATGTGAAGGATTGGTTCATAACATTCAGAGAGGTCTCTATTTATCTGACTTTCTTGAACATAAAATTATTTCTTAAGTTCATGAGCTACACATTTTTAACATGCCTGATAAATCTAATTTACCAGACAATATTTTTAAACCTAGGAGATAAACTTAAATCTAACAGGATAAATCTGTTCAACTTGCCAGACAAAACTGACAGATACATCTATATGATCAAAAGAAACTTTATTTATTTTATCACAAAAATTAATCAACTACATAAATCTATTAATTACATAAATGTATTAAATAAGACAGATAAATCTATTTAATCAACAAGATAAAAATTATTTAATCTATCAAAGAAAACAATTGTCTTGGTATTTTAGAAAAAAGTGCACACTATATTATGAAGGGCACCACAACGGTGTGGCAGCTGAACACTCGTCCGGGGATCTGAGGTTTGTGGGCTCAGGTCCTGATGGAGCCACAGTTAACACAGTTAATAGTGCTCCGATCTAACAACACAGTTAATAGTGCTCCGATCTGATACAACCAACAGTGCTCTGGTCTAGTACAACCAACAGTGCTCTGGTCTGATACAACCAACAGTGCTCTGGTCTGATACAACCAACAGTGCTCTGGCTGGTCTGATACAACCAACAGTGCTCTGGTCTGATACAACCAACAGTGCTCTGGTCTGATACAACCAACAGTGCTCTGGTCTGAAACAACCAACAGTGCTCTGGTCTGATACAACCAACAGTGCTCTGGTCTGATACAACCAACACTGCTCTTTTTTCTAGTCAATATTGCTCTGATCTAAAAAAAAAAAAAAAAAAAAGATTACAGATCTCTGATCTAATTAAACAGTAGTGCGCCATCGAACAATTCAAAAATCTGACCTTTATGAGACTATTTTTGTAGTGTAGGCAGGGGGGTCTTTGAGCCTGATCATTCAGGGCCACATAGCTAGTACTGTCCCCATGGACTCTACAGGTGAGAATTTTATTTTGCCACCGACAGAAAAAATCCCCAGCCTTACCAAGGATTCAAATCCGAGTCTGCCGCATGAGAGCCCAGCGTTTTAACCATTCAGCCAGCCACTTCTCTAACAATACACAGTCAACAGGGCTATGATTTAACACAGTCCATAGTCCTCTGATCTAACAACGCAGTCAGCAGGGTTCCATTCTAACAACGCAGTCAGCAGGGTTCCAGTCTAACAACGCAGTCAGCAGGGTTCCATTCTAACAACGCAGTCAGCAAGGTTCCATTCTAACAACGCAGTCAGCAGGGTTCCAGTCTAACAACGCAGTCAGCAGGGTTCCATTCTAACAACGCAGTCAGCAGGGTTCCATTCTAACAACGCAGTCAGAAAGGTTCCATTCTAACAACGCAGTCAGCAGGGTTCCATTCTAACAACGCAGTCAGCAAGGTTCCATTCTAACAACGCAGTCAGCAGGGTTCCAGTCTAACAACGCAGTCAGCAGGGTTCCATTCTAACAACGCAGTCAGCAAGGTTCCATTCTAACAACGCAGTCAGCAAGGTTCCATTCTAACAACGCAGTCAGCAGGGTTCCATTCTAACAACGCAGTCAGCAGGGTTCCATTCTAACAACGCAGTCAGCAGGGTTCCATTCTAACAACGCAGTCAGCAGGGTTCCAGTCTAACAACGCAGTCAGCAGGGTTCCAGTCTAACAACGCAGTCAGCAGGGTTCCAGACTAACAACGCAGTCAGCAGGGTTCCAGTCTAACAACGCAGTCAGCAGGGTTCCAGTCTAACAACGCAGTCAGCAGGGTTCCATTCTAACAACGCAGTCAGCAGGGTTCCATTCTAACAACGCAGTCAGCAGGGTTCCATTCTAACAATGCAGTCAGCAGGGTTCCATTCTAACAAAGCAGTCAGCAGGGTTCCACCAGTCTAACAACGCAGTCAGCAGGGTTCCATTCTAATAACGCAGTCAGCAGGGTCCCACCAGTCTAACAACGCAGTCAGCAGGGTTCCATTCTAATAACACAGTCAGCAGGGTTCCACCAGTCTAACAACGCAGTCAGCAGGGTTCCATTCTAACAACACAGTCAGCAGGGTTCCAGTCTAACAACGCAGTCACCAGGGTTCCATTCTAACAACAGTCAGCAGGGTTCCATTCTAATAACGCAGTCAGCAGGGTTCCACCAGTCTAACAATGCAGTCAGCAGGGTTCCAGTCTAACAATGCAGTCAGCAGGGTTCCAGTCTAACAACGCAGTCAGCAGGGTTCCAGTCTAACAGCGCAGTCAGCAGGGTTCCAGTCTAACAACATTCAGCAGGGTTCTAGTCTAACAACGCAGTCAGCAGGGTTCCAGTCTTACACTGCAGTGCTGGTGGCTAGTTACTGAATGGTCCATTATTTATTCTAAGCCCCAAAGAACAAAACAAAATAGATGGTTCACAAAATGATGATTCACATAAGGTGTAACAATGAAGGCGAAATTCACAATAAAGATTTTGGTTGCTTTTGAATTGTTCTCCATATCATTGTCTCTATGTACACTAACAAACCCAACAGTGGACGTAACCACGGTTGGTGTCAGGCTGTCAGTAGTGAGGTCAAGGTTGATGAAGAGGCATAGAACTGTGTCCTTCACAATTCCCAACCTCAATTAGTCATCTGTCTGGTTGGTCAGGGAGAATCCTCAGCTTTGGACACAGTTCACATATGAGACTTTGGTTGTTGCTCTGCAAATTTTTCTAACAATCGTTTCTGTACAGATCTTGGCAGTGGTTTGGTCCAAAGACCGTTTTCCACTCTGAACTCCCTGCTCTGGTGCTCTGTGGCTCCATGGCGAATCTGGAAGTCACACAGAGCCACCAACGGATGTACCAGAACCTGGGCAAGTAGAAGAAGCAGAATAATAATGTAGATAACAATGCAACAACACTAGTCAGATATCAACTTCAATGTGAAATAATGCAACAAGTTTTCTTCATACTGAGGTATTTAGGCCTATTTTCTTCTTCTTTGCTTTCACCAGTGGTAGAAAGTCCTGGTTGTTCATCCATATCTGGACTTTAGTATTGTGTTTTGCGTGGTAATTCGTTTTACAGACCTAACTTATTTGTATGCAGACTGCCGGTTCCTTAGCTCTCAAGAAGATTTACTCTGACTTTCGAAGAAATAACTCTAATTAGTCGGCTTTTGCAACATGCTTGGGTAGTGGGTCTATCCTTTCTCTCCCTCCCCCCAGGTCTGGATCCCATACAGCCAATACTGGGCATATGATGCCAGCTCCATATTTGTACAGATCAACTGGCACTGGGTGGCTAATGTGGCTAATATCATGCCAGCCTCTTTTACTTCTTGGTACCCATTTTAAGGTGAGCTCATTTGATGAGGATTCGAACATCCACAAGATGACTGCTAGCCACTGTGCCACAACTGCTCTCATTTATGTATAATCAGAGAATTTACCTTCCCGCTTTATCTGGGGCCCCAATGGCTGTGAAGGATGGGTGGGGGGGGGGGGGGGGAGACAGACAGACTGCACATGAACAAGCAGGTTGTACAAGGTGATGATTTCAGGATTAGCTTAAACTGGTCTAAAGCTCTAAACAACAAAACAAGGAGCCAGCCGCCCTTGTCAAGGTCAAGGCAGACAGAGAAGAAACAACGTGGTCTGTAAATAAATTAGTAACTTGCTTCCTCTGGTTTAAAGAAGTAGACATTTCCCGAGAATAACTAAGCATGTCACTGGCTTTCAGAGTTACAGCTACACACAGGTGATGGACAAAGCAGATAGCAATATACTGGGCAGATTATCAGGAAAAGACAGAGGCCCTAAATAGATGCTGCAATGGGAAACACACGGAAGCGAGTACGCCCAAGAGAAACCCTACAGCGAACATCGATGAGTGAGGCCAGAGGCGCTGGACTGGATTCTATCCACGATATCGATAGGATTACATAGAACAAACCAGAAGGAGAACCAGACTGCGAGCCCTATGTGACATATAATGGAGAAGTCCCAGAGCTCACATCAGTAATCGCTGTTTCTGCTGAATCAAGAGACCGGATGTAATTACCTCCAAGATTTCTGGCCTGTACTCAAGAGTAGCAATAGCAACAGCAGCCGTCTCCAGCGTCGACAGTGAGGAATCCCTGGGCTGGGTGCGAATAACATACTTGCTCCTTTGGCTAGAGTTTATCTGTACCTAGTCAGGTTAGAAATACAAGCAAAAACAGTCAACTCTGGTGGCACAAAACAAAATCAGGAAGACGAGAAAGAAGAAGCAGATGACGATGATAAAGAAAAAATACACATCTAACATTCTAAAACTCTTTAATGGAAGTTAAGTAAAAATGCTGGACCATTCAAAGAGAAGATCTTGTTTCCACCAGGTTTGAAGAACTCATTGAGAGATGCTTCAACACAATTACTAGACATGATAATCACAAAACATATACTCAACAGCTTGAAAATTATGAAAAAGACTAACGCCAAAAAGCATATATTACCTTCTTTAAACTTTTTAGAAATGGGTTCTGAGAATAAATCCCCTTGGCTTGAGCCCAAGTGCCATCTAGCAAAACAATGTTGTATGACTTATCTGTCGGCAGCTCTGAGATGTCCACTGCATCAGCCCCTGGGTATAGCAGTATTGTGTCTGGAGATTCTAGAGCAGAAATGAATTCTGGGTACCTAGAAGAGAGAATCATATCAGATGAAAGTACTGTCCTCCACTGGCAACATAACTAGTTCTCATTTTGTGGTCCACGAGGAGTCCGCAGAACAAACATAAGGCGCAAGTGATATTTTTTTTTAAATACTTAATTTTTTTTGCGATAAGCTTTTTATTAAGTTCGGTTTTGTTTGTTTGTCTGGTACAAATGTTTAGTTCAATGTTTTTTTTAAAAATCTGACGAACAAAAAGTATGGGATTCATGGAGACCTTAAAAATTAGGAAGGGTCCGTGGGTCTTATCTAACTGGGAACCAGTGGCATCAGGATTAATTAAACTGTAATGATGTTTATTCGCAGACTGCAAAGTATCATCCTCAACATTTTAAAAGTTTTCTGCATAAGGTCACTCCCATCACAGCCTGCAGATGAAAATCGTGGTCCTTTGCTAGTTTCTCTTCCTCGTGTATCTCTAGGCTCAGTGTCTATGATGTCCAATTTCTATCTTTGTGGTTGTCGTGAAATGATAGCCATTACGCATCGGTCTGTAAGGCTGATAACCTGTCTTACCTGTAATCTGCACAAAATTCAAACTTGGACTCGCCCAGAAATATATAGTCCCTTATATCTATATATATAGGCCTGTATTGGACAACATTATTATGTCTGCCTTTTCTGGTTACTTTAACTAAACTCCACTTTTAAATGTATATCTCTTGGAGATATATTAAGGGAGTTATTTGAGGTTTCGTGGAAACCGATTTACTCCTTGCCCAAGTATACAAGGGACTTCTTTTGTTACCAACGCCTGAAGTGTCTAAGTGACGCTATTCTCCTTGCCAGCTTCTCAAGCGTCCAGATGTGTTAATCTGTGCCTGTATAAATTTCACTTTTCAAGGCAATCTGGAATGTCTGTTTTTACATATGCTTGGGTAAGTTAATTATAGTTTACGAGTACCTAGAATGATGTCTGTAAAGTAGTCACTGCTGTAGAGAAATCAGTATCGGCTGTGTGATCCCACTTAGTTCGACCGTTCTTGATCGCTAGAGAAGCGGATTCGAACGTAGATCTTCCACTGTACAGACTAAATAGCTTATGCCCTCAATAAACCACCCATACTGATAAAACTTAATACCCTTACAATTGTGTACGTTTTAAACTAACTAAAGAATCTGTACATACGAAATGGGGACAGAATTGGGTCAGGGCTTTGTTAATCAAAGTATGTGTGTGTTTGACCCAGATCAATGAGTGCTGGGGCGGTTGGGAAAGCTAGTGAATGCAGGTACTGACAGTAAATATTGGTGTCTGTGTGCAGAGTGAGGGGGAGAGGGAGAGTGATATATGTGTTAGACCACTTTATCTATCTCCACTGTATATCTGACTTGCCTTCTCTTGCACTAAACAGACAGATAAATATAGGAGACTTATGTCTTTTGGTCTGGAGAGGCAATCTGAGGAATGAAACAGGAGAGCAGAGAGGAGTCAGCAGATGGGGGTTGATGACTGATGCTTGCTCTGTCTTTCCTGTCAAGATGTTACCCTCTTGGTGATGACTAATGTTGAGTTATTTTCTTGACAGGATGTATCTTTTCTGAAGAGCTGGCAGAAGATTCACAGTCCAACCAACATCCACCAACCATCAAACCACCAGAAACAAACTGTTACCCACCAGCTAACACCTGTGAAGGTTCCTGACATCTCCAACATGTGGGAGATGGTACCTCAAACAGCTACCAGTGCTAGAGCTTAGTGTGGCTCAAAGACATTGTGTGTCCTTACTGGTGATAGAGACTTGCTAAATACCGGTATAGTTGCTGTGTCTTCTATGGTGAAGTACTCTTTCACTACCTGATCCAGTTGAGCAGAATTACCAGAGTCAAAGACAGTCGAATCATCAGGAGCTGAGGGAGGCATCATAGACAGAAAGAGGCTAAGTGCAGTTTGATGCCTTATGTGCTTTATTCCTCACAGCTCCTGGGTTGTCCAATGATGACAAGATGTCATCTCCAAGACCTTCTGTCTGTGTAGTATCTTTGTGATTTGGACATGATATCCTGAGATCTAGCCTAGGAGATCTGGCAATTGTCTCACTTTTATATATCTATTTTATATTGATTACATGCATTCATTTTCATGGCTGACTTAGGTGTCTCTATTTCACCTTTTTAAGTGTTTAGCAGTTGTGTATGTATGTATCTTCATTATATGTGTTAACATGGTTATGATAATGAACTATCATAACCTGGGGGCTTTCTTTAGTAAGTAGTGGGGGTGTCCAGCCAAGTGTGCCTAGAAATATTGTATTTATATACTGATATATTTTGTAGTGCCAATACTTGAGTTGCCCTACTCCAGAGATAAGTTGAGCGTATATTGGCCACGGGGAATCCCTTAGACCAATACGAGCCAAACGACTCAACATAATTATCTCTGAGTGCTGTTGGTTCTGAAGGAGGAATCCTTACATTAGGCACGCGACAGGAGTGATATGTGACAGTGGTCACTCCCTGCCTCTTCTAACATGAACCAAGCCTTGCAGTAGTATTTTTTAAACCCCTGCAGCACTTCACATACCCCACTATGTTTATTTATAAACCATTGCAGCACTTCATATACCCCACTATGTTAATGTATAAACTACTGCAGCACTTCATGTACCCCACCATGTTAATTTATAAACTACTGCAGCACTTCATATACCACACTATGTTAATTTATAAACTACTGCAGCACTTCACATACCCCACTATGTTAATTTATAAACTACTGCAGCACTTCATGTACCACATTATGTTAATTTATAAACCCCTGCAGCACTTCATATACCCCACTATGTTCATTTATAAACCCCTGCAGCACTTCATATACCCCACTATGTTCATTTATAAACCCCTGCAGCACTTCATGTACCACATTATGTTAATTTATAAACCCCTGCAGCACTTCATATACCACACTATGTTAATTTATAAACTACTGCAGCACTTCACATACCACACTATGTTAATTTATAAACTACTGCAGCACTTCATATACCACACTATGTTAATTTATAAACTACTGCAGCACTTCATATACCCCACTATGTTAATTTATAAACTACTGCAGCACTTCACATACCACACTATGTTAATTTATAAACTACTGCAGCACTTCATATACCCCACTATGTTAATTTATAAACCCCTGCAGCACTTCATATACCCCACTATGTTAATTTATAAACTACTGCAGCACTTCACATACCCCACTATGTTAATGTATAAACTACTGCAGCACTTCATATACCACACTATGTTAATTTATAAACTACTGCAGCACTTCACATACCACACTATGTTAATTTATAAACTACTGCAGCACTTCATATACCCCACTATGTTAATTTATAAACTACTGCAGCACTTCACATACCACACTATGTTAATTTATAAACTACTGCAGCACTTCACATACCCCACTATGTTAATGTATAAACTACTGCAGCACTTCATATACCACACTATGTTAATTTATAAACTACTGCAGCACTTCATATACCACACTATGTTAATTTATAAACTACTGCAGCACTTCACATACCACACTATGTTAATTTATAAACTACTGCAGCACTTCATATACCACACTATGTTAATTTATAAACTACTGCAGCACTTCATATACCACACTATGTTAATTTATAAACTACTGCAGCACTTCATGTACCACACTATGTTAATTTATAAACTACTGCAGCACTTCATGTACCACACTATGTTAATTTATAAACTACTGCAGCACTTCATATACCCTACTATGTTAATTTATAAACTACTGCAGCACTTCACATACCCCACTATGTTAATTTATAAACTACTGCAGCACTTCATATACCCCACTATGTTAATGCATAAACTACTGCAGCACTTCATATACCCCACTATGTTAATTTATAAACTACTGCAGCACTTCATATACCCCACTATGTTAATTTATAAACCCCTGCAGCACTTCATATACCCCACTATGTTAATTTATAAACCCTTGCAGCACTTCATGTACCCCACTATGTTAATTTATAAACCCCTGCAGCACTTCATGTACCACATTATGTTAATTTATAAACCCCTGCAGCACTTCATGTACCACATTATGTTAATTTATAAACCCCTGCAGCACTTCATATACCACACTATGTTAATTTATAAACCCCTGCAGCACTTCATGTACCACACTATGTTAATTTATAAACTACTGCAGCACTCCATATACCCCACTATGTTAATTTATAAACCACTGCAGCACTTCATATACCACACTATGTTTATTTATAAACCACTGCAGCACTTCATGTACCACACTATGTTAATTTATAAACCACTGCAAGACTTCACGTACCACACTATGTTAATTTATAAACCCCTGCAGTACTTCATGTAGCACATTATGTTCATTTATAAACTACTGCAGCACATAATATACCCCACTATGTTCATTTATAAACCCCTGCCGCACTTCATATACCCCACTATGTTCATTTATAAACCCCTGCAGCACTTCATATACCCCACTATGTTCATTTATAAACCCCTGCAGCACTTCATGTACCCCACTATGTTAATTTATAAACTACTGCAGCACTTCATATACCACACTATGTTTATTTATAAACCACTGCAAGACTTCACGTACCACATTATGTTCATTTATAAACCCCTGCAGCACTTCATGTACCACACTATGTTAATTTATAAACCACTGCAAGACTTCACGTACCACATCATGTTCATTTATAAACCCCTGCAGCACTTCATGTAGCACATTATGTTCATTTATAAACTACTGCAGCACATAATATACCCCACTATGTTCATTTATACACCCTGCAGCACATAATATACCCCACTATGTTCATTTATACACCCTGCAGCACTTCATATACCACACTATGTTAAATTATAAACTACTGCAGCACTTCATGTACCACACTATGTTAATTTATAAACTACTGCAGCACTTCATGTACCACATTATGTTCATTTATAAATCCCTTCAGCACTTCATGTACCACATTATGTTCATTTATACACCCTGCAGCACTTCATATACCATACTATGTTCATTTATAAACTCCTGCAGCACTTCATATACCATACTATGTTCATTTATACACCCTGCAGCACTTCATATACCATACTATGTTCATTTATAAACTCCTGCAGCACTTCATATACCACACTATGTTCATTTATACACCCTGCAGCACTTCATATACCACACTATGTTCATTTATACACCCTGCAGCACTTCATATACCATACTGTGTTCATTTATACACCCTGCAGCACTTCATATACCCCACTATGTTATTTTATAAACTACTGCAGCACTTCACATACCACACTATGTTAATTTATAAACTACTGCAGCACTTCATATACCACACTATGTTAATTTATAAACTACTGCAGCACTTCATATACCACACTATGTTAATTTATAAACTACTGCAGCACTTCACATACCACACTATGTTAATTTATAAAATACTGCAGCACTTCACATACCACACTATGTTAATTTATAAACTACTGCAGCACTTCACATACCACACTATGTTAATTTATAAACTACTGCAGCACTTCATATACCACACTATGTTAATTCATAAACTACTGCAGCACTTCATGTACCACACTATGTTAATTTATAAACTACTGCAGCACTTTATGTACCACATTATGTTAATTTATAAACTACTGCAGCACTTCACATACCCCACTATGTTAATTTATAAACTACTGCAGCACTTCATATACCCCACTATGTTAATTTATAAACTACTGCAGCACTTCACATACCCCACTATGTTAATTTATAAACTACTGCAGCACTTCATATACCCCACTATGTTAATGCATAAACTACTGCAGCACTTCATATACCCCACTATGTTAATTTATAAACTACTGCAGCACTTCATATACCACACTATGTTAATTTATAAACCCCTGCAGCACTTCATATACCCCACTATGTTAATTTATAAACTACTGCAGCACTTCATATACCCCACTATGTTAATTTATAAACCCTTGCAGCACTTCATGTACCACATTATGTTAATTTATAAACCCCTGCAGCACTTCATGTACCACATTATGTTAATTTATAAACCCCTGCAGCACTTCATATACCACACTATGTTAATTTATAAACCCCTGCAGCACTTCATGTACCACACTATGTTAATTTATAAACTACTGCAGCACTCCATATACCCCACTATGTTAATTTATAAACTACTGCAGCACTTCATATACCACACTATGTTTATTTATAAACCACTGCAAGACTTCACGTACCACATTATGTTCATTTATAAACCCCTGCAGCACTTCATGTACCACACTATGTTAATTTATAAACCACTGCAAGACTTCACGTACCACATCATGTTCATTTATAAACCCCTGCAGTACTTCATGTAGCACATTATGTTCATTTATAAACTACTGCAGCACTTCATATACCACACTATGTTAATTTATAAACCACTGCAAGACTTCACGTACCACATCATGTTCATTTATAAACCCCTGCAGTACTTCATGTAGCACATTATGTTCATTTATAAACTACTGCAGCACATAATATACCCCACTATGTTCATTTATAAACCCCTGCCGCACTTCATATACCCCACTATGTTCATTTATAAACCCCTGCAGCACTTCATGTACCACATTATGTTAATTTATAAACCCCTGCAGCACTCCATATACCCCACTATGTTAATTTATAAACTACTGCAGCACTTCATATACCACACTTTGTTTATTTATAAACCACTGCAAGACTTCATGTACCACACTATGTTAATTTATAAACCACTGCAAGACTTCACGTACCACATCATGTTCATTTATAAACCCCTGCAGCACTTCATGTAGCACATTATGTTCATTTATAAACTACTGCAGCACATAATATACCCCACTATGTTCATTTATAAACTACTGCAGCACATAATATACCCCACTATGTTCATTTATACACCCTGCAGCACTTCATATACCACACTATGTTAAATTATAAACTACTGCAGCACTTCATGTACCACACTATGTTAATTTATAAACTACTGCAGCACTTCATGTACCACATTATGTTCATTTATAAATCCCTGCAGCACTTCATGTACCACATTATGTTCATTTATACACCCTGCAGCACTTCATATACCATACTATGTTCATTTATAAACTCCTGCAGCACTTCATATACCATACTATGTTCATTTATAAACCCTGCAGCACTTCATATACCACACTATGTTCATTTATACACCCTGCAGCACTTCATATACCATACTATGTTCATTTATAAACTCCTGCAGCACTTCATATACCACACTATGTTCATTTATACACCCTGCAGCACTTCATATACCACACTATGTTCATTTATACACCCTGCAGCACTTCATATACCATACTGTGTTCATTTATACACCCTGCAGCACTTCATATACCATACTGTGTTCATTTATACACCCTGCAGCACTTCATATACCATACTATGTTCATTTATACACCCTGCAGCACTACATATACCACACTATGTTCATTTATACACCCTGCAGCACTTCATATACCATATTATGTTCATTTATACACCCCACTCGAATATAAAAATATTCCAGTCTCTAAGACAGGATGCTATGTATGAGCCAGTTTTCTGTCAAGCTGAGATCTTGTCAAATGTCAGTCATTTTCCTCTTCTTAGTCTACAACATTTTAAGCATGTTTCTTAAAATTTTAGTTGATAAGCCATGATTTCCTTCTGTACTGATTGCACAACAGTATACACAAATCAACAATTAAACAGATTTTGAGAACAGGGAGAATAGATCAAATAGATAAACTGACAGAGTAAATAGGGACTTCTTTGTGTCACAACAAGAACTACATGACAAATTATTTACAAATTACATACCGAACAGCCGAAAATCGTTTCCCCTTGTAGACAAAGCACTTGCCAGGAGCTAGGCTGTTCTGTAAAATAGGAACTGTCCGGAGACATCTGGATTCCTGCAGTTGATGAAACAGCAGAGAAAACTATCTGAATACAGACCCATAACATAAATATGTCTCTGTATGTGGTAATGATGTTTCACATCTTTGATCCAAAACTGCTGTTTTATGAAATTACTATATACTGGATCTATATGAAATACTTCCAGGATACTAATGACATTCCTGAGAAGTAAAGGTGCCGACTTTGTGCCGACTCTAAAACCCACCGAGTGCCAACTGATCTATATAAAAATATTATTCTAGCATCATCTTGTGCTCAGTGTGTCTGGCGTAAAAAGAGCCCTGATTATATGTGAAGTACTGTCCTGGTTTGTTGTGAGTGTCCATGTCTGGCACTGGTAGCACAGAGTTGGAATGAATATGCTTTGAATAAGATGTCTCTTTGTGCTGATTGGGATTGTCTTATGCTGTAAGAGGGGGGCTAGCTGTCCCAATACTGACCTGTCTAGATATGAAAAACTGACCTGGTTAGATATGAAATCACTATATGTGACAGTGACTGCAGCCCAAGTTGCTCACCAAGTGTCAATTTGTCTACATAAATATAGGTAACTACCACCATATGTCACAGAGCTGTGGTGGTAGAGTAGCTGGATGCTCTGCCTACCAGCCCAAAGATTGTGGGTCTAATTTTTTTCTCTTTCCAAAAATAATCTTGGATCTCAGATCAACCCAGTATGAAAATGGGTACAAAATAAAAGTTCTTGGAAATAAAAAGTGCAGGCATGTCCACTACACCACCCATCGAGGGTGGATGGTTCTATAAAACTAGGTTTAACATCATATGCCTAACATTTCAATGACGGGAAATGGTCCTTTACTTCCTAGATGCCTAGTACACCTCATGGCAGGGGAAATGGTCCATTACTTCCTAGATGCCTAGTACACCTCATGGCAGGGAATGGTCCTTTATTTCCTAGATGCCTAGTACACCTCATGGCAGGGGAAATGGTCCGTTACTTCCTAGATGCCTAGTACACCTCATGGCACGGGAAATGGTCCTTTACTTCCTAGATGCCTAGTATGCCTCATGGCAGGGGAAATGGTCATTACTTCCTAGATGCCTAGTACACCTCATGGCATGGGAAATGGTCCTTTACTTCCTAGATGCCTAGTATGCCTCATGGCAGGGGAAATGGTCCGTTACTTCCTAGATGCCTAGTACACCTCATGGCATGGGAAATGGTCCTTTTCTTGACTCCAAGTTAAGCCAAACAGAACTGAGTTCCCCTTTTTTTTCCATCGAACACCGGCTGTGAATTCCAGTGGAAGGTCCCGGTTAATCGTCCGCTTGGACTTTTGGCCTTCACCTGGACCTGATTTTTGCGTGTACAACCGTTTTTGATTTCCCTGCCTCTTGGGCAGCTGTACGCCGACTTCGAAGGAAGACGTCAGGCCTATTTCTAGGGTGACTGTGGCCATTGTTTTGTGTGGGTCGAGACTTTGCCTGATTTGTGTGGTGTCCGCCTTGTCTCCTTCGCCGCAGGTATTGCCCCCGGAGTACCCCTTTGGGGCAGCCCCCTGTGGAACAGTTGGCCCTCAAGGGAAGGCAGGGGCAGATCATGGGCATTCCCCGCCATCCAAGGAGGCTTCCATGCATGCAGAGCCGGCACATGGCGCTCTGGTTCTGGGCTCACCCAAGGAATCCTCACGTCCTGCACATGCCTGCTTAACCTCACAACCGTATCAGGCCCTCCCGCTCGACAGGGGCTGCGCCCTCTGGAAGTCAGCGGGGAGCAGCCCGTTGGTTTTGGACTTTTGTGACCACACAGATAGGTACATTAGCCCGACAGAATTTCACATCCTGAATCAGGCATATCGTTACCAGTTTTGTCCCCAACACTCGGGCGAATGGGGTCTTTGGGTGTGGACATTCGGCCTTTATCATTTCAGTGCAAATTTTGATGGTCAGATTTTGATCCGTATGATCTAGTTTTTTGTCGGACATTTAGGCTTAGCCATCCGATAGATGGTTGCTGTTGTGGTGCACCTCAGCGCGGTGACGACGACACTGAGGGCCAACCGAAGATGCACAAGGATGGCCAGCCCATGTATTGTTGCTGTTGTGGTGCACCTCAGCGCGGTGACGACGACACTGAGAATTAACCGAGGATGAGCATTGAGCATGTTCTCTTTACACAGCAGTCTTTTAACCAAGGGTTGTAATTTTAGCTGTACTTTTGTCGAACCTACTCATGTTCCTAATGAGTTTTGATAACATTTTTCACCCAAGCGTTTGGGGGCGGGCTGATGAGAGCCACAAGGACACATCACCTCTGGGGGCCGCCAAACTCCGAGATCCCCTGACAGCTCTGTTAATGCTCATTTGAGACATTATCCGTGGCGCACGACGAGGACGTGCTGTAGGGGTCTTGCGTGAGGTTCCGTACAACCAGGATAGCAAAGGACTGGCGCCCGAGTGACGTACGGAGTATCTCCTTATACACGTCATGTTGGGCTTAACTTCCCCTCACGCCTGTGACATAAATCACCGCGCCACAGAGCTGAGTTAACTCAAAGAGCAGGCTCACATGTGCTGAAGCTTACCTCAAATGGATGCTGTAGAATATAAACTGTTGTCCGAACTTGAACTGGCTCATGTGGCAGGAAAGGACACCAACAGACACTTACTGGACGCCTGAAATATTTTATCTATCAATTAGGATTATGTGATATGTACATAAAATTATGTGATATGTACATAAAATAATGTGATATGTACATAAAATTATGTGATACGTACATAAAATTATGTGATATGTATACAAATCCTGGAGTCCTTATAGAGCAGTGATGTGCAATATAGGACCCTTAACGTCTCTCAGCCTTTCTTTCTCACTTTATGTGGTGAACTGTTCTTTCTAGTAATCCAGTGGAAGGGACTGCTGTTATATGAAATCACTATATACTGGCTCTACATGATTCTCAGCACTCGGCAGGAAACTTTATGGGACAAATGAGGTAATGGTGAAATCCAGTTCTGTCGGCCAACTACTGAGCTGAGTTCATGTTGCAATATTGTGAGCTGTGTATTAATGTGTGCTCCAGGAGATGTGTTTTATAAACTCCCTGGGCAGAAAATTGTGAGTGGTTGGTTACCACAGAACTGTTGGTATGCTTTAAGCATTAATGCTTGTGCACCGACTGGTTTGTTGTGACTGCTGCTTCCATTAACTATGAATAGTAATTCCAGTGACAGATTATGTTTTGGCTACCTTATGCATATGATGCATGTGTGAGCTGTTGGATTTTATCAGGACTGCTGTCTGAATCTTCACATGGGACAACATGTCATTCTGTGTGTTTCCACCAGCACAAGAGTGGAGCAGTTATTTCTGCCAATAATTCCTGACACAGTTGCCTAAAGGCATAAAGCAATATTTACATAAAAATCAAATCATCTAGCCTGAAAAACATGATTAAACAAGACAAGTTAGTATATTCAACATAAACCATGAGATTTATGGAATTCTATTCCCACAGAGGGCAAAAATATTAAACATGTCTGACTCATAACTTTGTAAAATTAAAACCAAAAAAAAAGCAATTGGTATAAAAATCATCAATAATAATGTATAATGCTTGATCAATAATGTACAGGGAAGCTAATGGGCCTTCTTCTGTGCACTGAGACATAGTGGCTACACAAACATTAATTGTATTAATGGATTATTGGGCTAGCTATTATACGATTAGTTTAATACATTTTTGCTAGTTAATTTCATTAATAAATCATTTATAGAAACTGTTGTTATATAACTACTGAAAAAAAGATCAATATATAGCTATAAGGAAAAGGCAAGCACAGTTCTTTGGTCATGTGATAACGGGGAAGGCTTTGGAGTATACTGTGACGACTGTGAAGATCAACTATAGAAGATGGAGAGGCAGACTGAGAGAGATGGTGACTAATGACGGATGGATTGTGACGGTTGCAAGGAGGGATATCATCAGTGGAACATCCAGAGGACAGGGACCAAGATCTGTGCAGTAATCAAATTCTTCTATGTGCTGCACCAGTCATTAGTGATTCCTTAACATAAATACAATCAGTGCCTTGCCAAGAACTACCTTCCATCAGTATTTAAAATTGCTAAAGTTTATCCTCTGCTTAAATTTGGTTTGGCTGACAACAATTCTTTAGGCAACTATAAACCCCTTTCTCTATTATCCCCACTATCTAAACTATTAGAGAAACACATACATAAAATAATGTTTCAGCATTTAAATAACAACAATAAAATAGCTGATAGCCAGTCAGGGTTCAGACCTAAACACTCTTGTCATTTTGCGTTGAAGAAAATGACAGACAACTGGCACTCTAACATCAACAATGGCAACATAGGCGGTGCAGTTTTTGTTGACTATAGGAAACTCTTTGATATGGCTGATGACAATATTTTAATTAGTAAATTAAAAACCTTAAAAATTAACGATAATTGAGTAACATTAGTAAAGTAATTTCTGTTTGATAGACAGCAGGTTGTTTACTTTAGTAACCTTTATTCAAAACCCACAGTTGAATAAAGGTGTTCCCTAGGGCTCAATATTATGTCCACTACTTTTTGCCACTTATACTAATGACCTTCCATTACATCTCAGTATAACATGTGATCTGTTTGCCGATGACTGTACTATATATACTAGTCATGATAACAGTAATGAGCTGGAAAGTTCTTTGCAGAAAGATATAGATAAACCTATAAAATGGAGCAATGATAATCACATGCAAATCAATATAAATTAAAAAAAAGCTAAAAACAATAGCTCAACACGAGCCACCGCTTTAGTTCTTCATGACAAACTACCTATTGTTAATGTAGTTGAACACAAAACATAAGGTGTTTCAATTAACAACTTGGAGTTCCCAGGTACATGCCATGAACCCAAAAAAAAATAGCACAAAAAGGTTATCAACTTGGCAAAACTCAGCACTTTCTGGATGAATATATGCGTAAAATATTTTACATATCCTATACTCAAACACATATTGACTATTGTTCCACAATCTAACGACAAATGACTGTGTTCTCTACAAAATTGGAGCTTATGCCTGCCTAGTCTCCAATAGAAATTTAGTCAAGTAAAATCTCTTGTACGCGCATCTAAGACTTCTGCCATTTAGTAAAAACTGTAATTCTAACAAGGCCAAACTCATTCACAAATTCCTATCTCAAAATACACCAAATTACATCTTCCAATTTATTCAATCCAATCCATGATTCATTAAAAACAAGTTTAGCATATTATGCTGCTCATGTATTGAACTATCTTCCACTCGATCTGAAAACTACTAAGTCTCGACTTATTTAACCGCAAACTTTTTAATTTCATGGTTCCAAGTGAATATATGCCACTTTAAATGTAGTTAATAATCCATATTGCATTATCAATTTATAATTAAAAAAGGTGTGTATGATATGTATTCATGTGTGGGTGTGTTTGTGTATGTATGAGTGTATGTATGGGTAACTGAACAAGTTAGTGTGCATGTCTTTGTGTGTGTATGTGTATTTGTGTGTGGGCATGTGTCTGTGAGTGAGTCTGTATAGTGTACATGTGGGTGTCTGTGTGTGTGTCTGTAAGCATGTGTGTGGATGTGCATTTTTGTATGTATCCATATGTGTATCTGTGGTTGCGAGCGTGTCTTTGTGTCTGTGCATGTTCTGTGCATCTCTGTATGTGTTTGTGTGTCTATGTGTGTCTGTGCTTGTGTCTGTACATATGTGTGTGGCTTTGTGTGTATCTGTGTCTATTTGATAATGTTGGCGTGTGTCTGTGTGCGCGCGGCTGCATGACTGTGTGTGTATTTGTGACTGTGTGTGCATCTATCTGTGAGAGTGTGTGTTTGTGTGTCAGTTTGTGTCTGGCTGAGTGTGTGTCCATGTGTGTGTGAATGTTTATGTGTGTGTGTATGTATGTATGTATGTATGTATGTATGTATGTATGTATGTATGTATGTATGTATGTATGTATGTATGTATGTATGTATGTATGTATGTATGTATGTATGTATGTATGTGTGCATGAATGTATATGTATGCATGTATGTATGTATATATGTATGTGTGCATGAATGTATATGTATGCATGTATGTATGTATATATGTATGTGTGCATGAATGTATATGTATGCATGTATGTATGTATGTATGTATGTATGTATGTATGTATGTATGTATGTATGTATGTATGTATGTATGTATGTATGTATGTATGTATGTATGTATGTATGTATGTATGTATGTATGTATGTATGTATGTATGCATGAATGTATATATGTATGTATGTATGTATGCATGAATGTATATGTATGCATGTATGTATATGTATGCATGTATGCATGTATGCATGCATGCATGTATGTATGTATGTATGTATGTATGTATGTATGTATGTATGTATGTATGTATGTATGTATGTATGTATGTATGTATGTATGTATGTATGTATGATTTTATGTATGTATGTATGTGTGTGTATGTGTGTGTGTGTGTGTGTGTGTGTGTGTATGTATGTATGTATGTATGAATGTGTGTGTTTATGTAGATGTGTGTGAATGTGTGTGTGTATATGGATATGTGTGTGTATGTATTTATGTAGGTGCATATATGTGTGTAAGTGAGTGGGTTTGCACGTGTATGTGGGTGTTTGTGTATGCGCGCAAGTGTGCCATACATGTTTTACGACCCATGCTTTGGTATTTTTGCTTGACATTCATAATATGCATCATATTTTATGAACATATATACTTTATTGATGAAGAACAACTGCTGTGTGAAAGATGGGTGTCTGGTAGGGCAGAATTGTAAAAGATGGGCCTGCGTGCTGGTAATTTGTGCCCTTTGAAATATATAATGTCCGTTCATTTAAATCATATTTTTTAAGTCTACAACCGTTTGCAGCATCTGTCAAAAACTTAAATGTGCAGTATTTCTTAGCTGAATATTTGTACCTGCCTTATCACCCCTAAATCCTGAGCCTATTCCTCCACCATGGCTGCATTTGTTTAATTAAGAAGTTAAAATTAGGGCTGTACCGAATACTGATTTTCACTATTTGGCTGAATACGAATAGCTGGAAACAACAATATTTGGCCTAATACGCTAATAGTTAATCATCATCACTCAGTGCTTTGCCCGACTGGCCATGGGCGATTATGCCTTGTCACACATCATGCGATCTCCTGCAGCATGGTATTAGTTCATGTGCTGACACAACCTCCATGCCATGCAACGAAGACTATCAAGAATCTTCTCATCCTCGTCTGTCTCTTTATCCCTCCTTTCATAGATCTTTCGCAGTGGTCACGACATGGTTCCATTTCCCCTCCATCTTATAACATTGGCCGCAAAATGATTACGGTCTCCGCCTGATTTCTCGAATGAAAAAGTAAAAGTTTTTGGTCTCAGGTTCCCGCCTCTTTTAAAACCTCTTGGTTGCTTTTTTTCTGGCGCCTACAAGGTCATTTAAGCATTGTTTCTGTAAAAACCACATCTATGAGGCCTCAAGAAATTGTTTGGCCGGCCTACCTGATTGTCTAAGGACTCACAGCACATATGTTACGAAACTGGAATGTATGTATCCAGCAAAAAAGCATTAGCTTTGAAAACAAAAAACAGACACAATCGTTCCATGTTGGCAGAATTACAGGCAGCTTCATTGTCTCCCTGGGGGGATGTTCCCCGGCTGTCACTAAACTGACGTTGTTCTCTTGGTACGCATCGTAGATGGTGCACAAAGTAACCGCTTGAATCAGTATGAACCAAGGTGGATATCTTGATATGGTTGATTTCCCACTAGTCCAGAAATGGGTGTAAGGTAATCACTATTCGTATTCGCCCCATCGAAAACTAAAGGCCGAAAACCGAATAGTTATTTGGTCCACTTTCGCCCCGAAACGAATTTCGGGACATCCCCATTAAAAACTATTAAAAGTTAGTTTATGAGATTTATTTTTGAAAAACTGCAACCATTAGAGCATTTTTATTTTAAATGAATTGTCATTATTTTAATTTGCCATTTTTTTTTTTTTGAAACGATTTATCCAGAG